CTCCACACTGCAGCACTTAACATCACTGCCAACACAGGTACCTCAGGCTGGGCTGAGGCTGTTCCTCTAGGACCTCACAGTCCAAGGAGGCGGGCGTGAGCCGGAGGGGGAAAAGGAATTTCTGACCTGTGAGCTGGGGTGGCATCAGGGAACAAAGGGCAGGTAACAGGACTTCTGCAGCCTGGGGCGTCTCTGATGGTGGTGATAGGTGCGGGCTGTCCCTCAGGTTTGGGGAGAAAGTTGTCTGAGTGGGATCTGTGGTTCCAGGGCCGGCATCTCGCTCCGTGGAGCGCCTCAAGGAGATGATCAAGGCCGGGATGAACATTGCGCGACTCAACTTCTCCCACGGCTCCCACGAGGTTCAGGGCAGGACCGCAGGGAGGCAGGCGGGGTTAGAGGATGCCCCAGGACCCCGGCCACTTTCCCCTGAAATCCTCGCTCTTTTCCTGTCCCCAGTACCACGCTGAGTCCATCGCCAACATCCGGGAGGCGGTGGAGAGCTTTGCAACTTCCCCGTTCAGTTACCGACCCGTGGCCATAGCTCTGGACACCAAGGGACCGGAGATACGCACTGGGATCCTGCAGGGGGTGAGAGGCGACCTGGGACCCGACCTGTCCCGGGGACCGAGAAGGGGGCGGCGCGGCGCGGAGGCAGTTGCCCAAAGGGCAGAGCATGGGGAGGGGGCCGGCCCCGGACCGCGGCGGGCAGAACTCAGTGCTCCTCTGGCCCCGTCCCTAGGGCCCGGCGTCGGAAGTGCAGCTAGTGAAGGGCTCCCAGGTGCTAGTGACCGTGGACCTGGAGTTCCGGACGCGGGGGGACGCGAACACCGTGTGGGTGGACTACCCCAATATCGTCCGGGTCGTGCCGGTGGGGGGCCGCATCTACATTGACGACGGGCTCATCTCCCTAGTGGTCAAGAAAATCGGTGCGGATGCGCCTCCCGCCCTGGCTGTGCGCAGTGAGCGCACTTTCCTCCTTTTGGCTCCCGCATTCGCCCTTTAGACCCACCACACCTACCCCTGGCCACCGCCCCACGAGCCCCCGGCATGCAGACTCCTGGGCTCACCCTGGGTTGGGGCTGGACTGGCGGGTTAGTCGTTTCTTCCCCATACTTCCTCCCGGTGCCTATTCGGTGCAGAGTCCAGGCCGAGGGCGAAGAAATGAATAGGACATCGTTCCGCTCTCTTGAGGGTCCAAGTCACGTGTTCCCGCTGCCGTGGCTATGCCCCCGGCCTCACCCCTGACCTAGGCCGGCTTTATCCATGCTCGCAGGTCCAGAGTGGCTAGAGACCCAAGTGGAAAATGGCGGTGTCCTGGGCAGCCGGAAGGGCGTGAACTTGCCGGGCACCCAAGTGGACCTGCCCGGGCTGTCTGAGCAAGATGTCCAGGACCTGCGCTTCGGGGTGGAACATGGCGTGGACATCATCTTTGCCTCCTTTGTGCGGAATGCCAGCGACGTGGCTGCCGTCAGGGCTGCTCTGGGGCCGGAAGGACAGGGCATCAAGATCATTAGCAAAATTGAGAACCATGAAGGGGTCAAGAAGTGAGTCTTGATCTTTGTCCCCATCAGGTCCTAACCATCCCCATTGCCCCTCCTCTTCTCCTGTCTGCCTCTCCCTGGCATCTCCTGGCTCTTCCACAGCCCTAACTCCCCCAACTGCCCAGGTTTGATGAAATCCTGGAAGTGAGCGATGGCATTATGGTTGCACGGGGTGACCTGGGCATTGAGATCCCAGCGGAGAAGGTTTTCCTGGCTCAGAAGATGATGATTGGCCGTTGCAACTTGGCGGGCAAGCCTGTCGTCTGTGCTACACAGGTCTGGAGTGAGCCCTCGCAGCAGGGCACTCTGTGGGTCTGAGGATACCTGAGGGTGAATACCAACACCTTAGGTCTCTGACACATTTTGCTGTCCGGTGTTTGACCCTCAAATAACAAAGCTAGGAAGAGATGCTGTGACCCCCCCCTTTTTAAGATGAGGAAATAGAACAGCCAGGATCACACATTTTGTGACTGTGACCCTAGCTTTCAGGACCCTCAGAGAGTGTGGATGTCAGAGCAGTAGTTTGGGGCAGGGTCCCCAGTCAGAGTATGGCTCCTACAGCTCTGACGTCCAGATGTTCCCCCAGATGTTGGAGAGCATGATCACTAAGCCTCGGCCAACTCGGGCAGAGACAAGTGATGTGGCCAATGCCGTGCTGGATGGAGCAGACTGCATCATGCTGTCGGGGGAGACTGCCAAGGGCAACTTTCCTGTGGAGGCTGTAAAGATGCAGCATGCGGTAGGAGCTCAGGATGCAAGGCAAATGGGCTGGAAAACCAAAACCCCTTCCAGGTCCCAATACCCCTGCCCAGCCTGACCTCCTGGTGCCCACAGATTGCCCGGGAGGCAGAGGCTGCAGTGTACCACCGGCAGCTCTTTGAGGAGCTGCGCCGGGCGGCACCGCTGAGCCGGGATCCCACAGAGGTCACCGCTATCGGCGCTGTGGAGGCTGCCTTCAAGTGCTGTGCCGCTGCCATCATCGTGCTGACCACAACTGGCCGGTGAGGGGGACACGGGGAACACCAAGACAGGGCTTTGGGTCAGGGGCAGGCTAGGGTGGGCCCCAGGCTTGGGTTTTATCTCATCATCAGGAATCATTCAGGGGCAAGAGGAGAGACAGCTATGGGAGCTAGAGGCCAGGAGAGGCAGATCTTGGAGCACACCAGGAATTGTGACTGTGAGCCCCAAGGGGTTGGAAGGGGAACGTGGCAGCAGTGAGTGCATTGGCTTCCAGGTCATTTGAGTTTTTAAGTCTGAGAGGCAGGTCCTCTGCATTTAGCCCACAAAGCCTTATAATGTTGAGGTGTTGCAGAAGGGCCCAGAAAGTCTGAGTTCAAGTCATTGCTCTGAAACTCAGCTGTGACACCTTGGGTAAGTCACCCAGGCTCTATAAGCCTCCTCCATTTGCTCATGGGGTTGTGAGGATTAACAAGAGACGTTTGTATGTTAAGTACTATATAAAGATACATTCCCAGAAGGGTTCTGTTTTTCAAAGAGGCTTCTCCTTAATATCTCATTTGATGATATATTTTTTATCATTTCTTATCTTCCTTATGTGGTAAGAAAGGCAGGTATTCTTATACCTGTTTTACAGGTGAGAAAACCAAAGCCCAGATAAATATGATTTACCCAGGGTCACACAACTTATTGGTGGCACCTGGAACTAGAACCTAACACTCACTGTTCTGGTCTGACCTTCTCTGCCTCCTTCAGTTCAGCACAGCTTCTGTCTCGGTACCGACCTCGGGCAGCAGTCATTGCTGTCACCCGCTCTGCCCAGGCTGCCCGCCAGGCCCACCTATGCCGAGGAGTCTTCCCTGTGCTCTACCGTGAACCTCCAGAGGCCATCTGGGCAGACGATGTGGATCGCCGGGTCCAATTTGGCATTGAAAGTGGTAAGCCACCTAGACTTCCTTCCCGCCCACCCCTGGATTTATATCATGAGTCCACCAACCCCAGTTCCCACACTCACCCAGAGGGCATTGCCTCTCTCCTTCGGTTCCAGATTTTCTCTGTGAGGTTCACTAGGACTCAGCTATTTGGGCCTCCAGGGGTGGGGGAGCATGCTGAGGGAGGAGGGCAGAGGAAGAGGCCCTCTAAGGTCCATCCCTAAAAAGTCGGTGCAGCTGCTGCCCGCACCAGGTGGCTAGAGCCGGGCATGACACAAGGAGCAAGACGTGAGAAGAGAAAGGGGGACCAAGTCCCCTGCAGCAGCAACTAAAATCGAATTTACAGTTGGCTATGCTCATACCCCACCGCTTCTATCAGCATAGAAATACAGGTGGACAGACTTGCTCCTTGGCAACACACCCCACGCCACTCCAGGGGCACTCCTGCAGCGCTGATATAGTGCAGTGGTCACATTCCCTGTGGTGCCACCTGTGGGACACACTATACAGTTTGTCCCAGGCCCCATTCCCTACTGAGTGGCCTTGGGGAGGTGAAGGGTGGTAGCTGGTTCTCATTACAGGGCTGACCTGGGTCCCTCAATGGCTGGTTATTATCTTCTCCCCTTCCTCCTCCCAGGAAAGCTCCGTGGCTTCCTCCGTTCTGGGGACCTGGTGATTGTGGTGACAGGCTGGCGACCAGGCTCTGGCTACACCAACATCATGCGAGTGCTGAGCATAACCTGAGGCTTCCCCCTCCTCTGACAGAGCCAGCCCCAGACCCACCCCTCCTCTCTGCTTCTGCCACCCCACACCTCTCCTCCACCTCTAAGTCTTCTTTACTCCCAATCCTCCCTGAGAGGCCACATCTGCCATCTACCCCACTTCCAGGCTGCTCCCTCCCCTTCTCCATTTCAGACAGGCCTTGAAAGCCTGTATCCAATTAAGCACTGGCCATTCAGCGGCACCAATCCCTGAACCCAATGCTCTCAACTGGTCCCTAAGATGCTCTGAGCCTTTAATCCCAGCTTAACTGATTAATTCTATTCCACTAAGCTTCCCACACCTGGGGGTGGAGCAGAGGGGAACAGGACAATCATGTCTACAGTCTCCCCAAAATCTGTTTTAAAGATATTTCATATCCATGCAGTTTGATGTTCTCATATGTGGCCCTCAGGATAATCTGGAATCTCCTGAGGAGAGTGCCGCCTCTTCCTTCGTTGTGACAACTGGTGACATCAAAGCACCGACCTAGGCTAGATGAATGCCGGGGAGCATCGAGAGCCATGTGGGCTCATCTTGTCACTGTCATTACCACTTCTAGGCTTGCAGGCTGCTCCCTGGATGTTCTCATACCCACCTCATGCCTTGCTGGGTTATAAGCCCCGCTGCCTCCTCCTGCACCCCAAAACTTCTTCATGCCCACTTTGTTCCCACACACAAACCAGGAGCCAAGATGAGTGTCTCTAGTTTCTTTTTAAACCAAGCTCTTTGGAAGCAATATAAAACTTCTCCCACACACTCAGAACCCCAGAACTCCCCACCTCGGAGAAAAGGAGATTTAGGGTCCTGGCCCTACATTCTTTGATGCTGTAGAGTAGGCGTGGGGACAGAGGGACAGGGTTAGGGATTTCTCTTGTCCCTGAGAAGGCAGTGGTACTGGTTAGTCTGCCCTTCCCCAGGCTTGCATACCTCAGGCCCTCCCCTTGTATCTGTACCCACAGCAAACTCAGTAGGGAAAAAAACCAAAACCTTAAAGAACAGTCCTCCTGCCCCTCTCAGGTGGCCCTTCCTGCCCCTACCTAGACAGAGGGTTCAGGTATTGCTGTGGATGGGAGTTGGGCAAGGACCGCAAGAGCTGGCACGGAGGGGCCCTGCCCATTCCTAACTCCCTACCAGGAGGGGAGGGGAGGGATAGATAAAGGAATGGGTGAATAAAATGAACTGATAATAAATAAAATTAGCAAATGAATGAATGAATAAATACAATTATTAAATGACTGAATAAATAAGAATAAATAAATAAGGAAACGAGGGAAGAAAGAAAAAATGGTATCTAAGAATTCAGCCACTTGCCCTCCACCTGGGGGGATCTAGGCTGGCACACTAAATGAGGGAGTGTCAACAATCCCTTACCTTCAAGGGGGACACCACTGGGACAGGGGCACAGGGAGGAGATGGCTCACAGTTACAAAAAGGCAATTCTACCAGTGACAAAGAGGGCAGCGAACTTGGAAGGAGATGGGTGTTCCCACTTGGGACATAGAAGGGAGGCTCCACGCATGGTAGTAAAGCTTGATGTCCACATTGGGAACCCTAGACGTTTGTTGACAGTAATGGGGCACAGGTAATTGGCAATGCCCAGCTATGCTAGTAGGACAGGAAGATAACCATGCCAGGCAGACCCTGCAAGGTCATGGGCAGGAAAACAGAGACATCTAGTTACTTGGCAGTGATGGTGGTGGCAAGTACTTGTGCTTAGTAAGATGGGATCATGGGCCTGGGCCTGCACCTGGCAGGACCGTGGCCAGGGGAACACCCTCATCAGAGGGCTTGGAGTCACATTTACTTGGCAGTGGAGACATACAGTGCCTGGCACAGTGCCTTGAACATGGTAGGTGCTCAGTACATTTGATGAACAGGTGAATGGATTGGGAGGATGTCAGACAGGCAGCAGGGCGCCTGAGCTGAGGACGGAGACCATCTTCTTGGAGGTAAGGGGAGACAGTCCCATAGGGCAGTGTTTCAGGTGTCCCCAAGAGGCGTCTGCCCTCAGGTGTATGCTATTGCACCTGAGAGCTTACCCAAAGATTTCACATATTGGCAGAGAGCTGGGGACCCCGGGGGGTGGCTGGCTCAGGCACTGATGGCCTGGGGGGCTGGGCTGTCCCTGGAGGCTTGGCCAGGAGCCCTGAGGGGGGTACCTGTTCACTTCCTGAGCCTTTACGCCCAGGAGAGCCATCACCTGCTGCCCGCTGAGGCAGAGAGGGTTGGGAGGCTGAGAGTGGGCGGCCCCGAGGTCCTAGTCTCCGTCCACCTCCTCCTGGGGGGGGGCCCAGCAGGGACACCTGGGAGCGCCCGGCCCGGGATAGGCTGGCGTGGAGGGTTCGGGCAGCTGGGGCCGGCAGGCGGGAGGTGGATGCCCATGGCCCCCGAGCCAGCAGAGGGCCAGCACGGACAGGCACCAGTGGGGAGGCTGGGGAGGCTGCTCCTGCTGATCTTCGAGCAGAGCGAGCAAGTAGGGTGACTGGAGAGTCAGGGGAGAGGGGTAGAGGGCCTCGCTGGTGAGTCAGGGCAATGGCCACATTGGAGGTCACGGCGGCTGCTTGCAGGGGTGCGTGCACTAGTGGCTCCCACAGCACTGGCTTTCCGCTGAGCCGAGCTCCCGTACCTGGGGCGAGGCCCCGAACACCCCGAGCCATATCCCTGTCGTGCTGCACCAAGTGCTGCTCCATGATGCCCCCACTGCTGCCCGGACTTGGCTCAGAGCGCTTCCGCTGCAGTACGGAATTCTTCTTACCTAGAAAGTGTCCCAGGGGAAGGAGTTAAGGCTAGGAAAGGAATCCAAGGTTGAAGGTTGGATATCAAAGAGTATGAAGGTAACAAGATGGAGTCAAGGGATGGCAGATGGGTGAAGGTAGCGGATGGGGGTCAAGAGTATGGAGAAGGAGATTGGGTAGATGGGGGTTGGAGAAAGAGGGTCAGAGGATGAGGATATGTATCCGAGATGGTGAGGGTCAGGGACTGGTACTCAGGAAAGGAGTCAAGGCATGGGAACTTGAGGTGATAGCTACAAGGGTAGGAGATGCTGAGTGATAAGGACAGTGAGCCATAGAAGTCCCACGGGGGGCATTTGCTGGGACTAAGCTGGGCTGGGGCACTAGAGCACTGAGAGGCTGGGGACTCCTTGCTATGGAGATGGGTGAGGGCACAGGCTGAACCCAGAGAAGACAGGGTGGACAGGCCTCACCGATGCGGCGCAGCCGATCCATGGCCACTGTCTCGAAGGCTCGGCGCATCATGGGGAACTCCTCCAGTACAGCGTTGAAATGATCCACGCTGAGTGAGTAGAGGCGGCAGTAGGTGTCAGCTCGCACGCTGGCTGTGCGACGGCCCCGAGTCAGCAGACAGATCTCTGCCGAAGTTGGGAGGAGGCCTTCAGCAGCTGACCCAGCTTCCTCAGGCTCCTCCCCAGATGGGAGAACCTAATGATTGCACACCCACCCGGGGTCCTAAAGGCTCCAAGCACGGTTGCTCTCCAGACTAAAACAATTACTGTCCTTCTCACTCTGTTCAAATTAAAGCTGATAAACAGGCAGGTGTTGCTGGCCTCCAGACTCCTAGTTAGTTCACTCCACATTAATTCCCAACCCCCAGCCCCAGAGGTAGGCCTGGGGCAGCACCCTCTGTGGACCCTCCCCTCCTACCCCGTTGAATGACCACCAACGGCAGCCCAGAAAGAGAAAAGCAGTGCTAAAGGGCAAAAGGCAACATGATGGGGATGCTGGAAGGTGGTGGGTGATTTGGCAACTGAAAGATTGTAAAAGCCTCAAATCACTCTGGGCAGCAGCTGGCAGAACTGTTCCCACTGCCACAAGCTGGGTCTCTGATTCCTACCACCAGGGAGCCACAAAGCTTAAGCCCCTGGGACAGCACTGCTTAATTTCTATCTTTCCCTCATCTCAGGGGATCCTCAGATTTTGCTACTTAAGGGTTCTAAAAGGCCCACTGGCCCAGTAATTTTCAACCTGGCTGTGCATTGGAATCTCTTAGGAAGCTTCTTAAAAATACAGAGCTCCAGGTGCCAGCCCCAGAGTTTCTGATTGAATAGACCTGGGGAGAGGTTGGAACTCTATGATCCTGCAGCGTAGCCAGGTGAGGACCCTGATTCAGGGGAGAAGTTGCCCTGTGTCCTCTGCTCCAGAACCCCCCTCTCTCCCTGAGGCCTGCTGACCCCCAAAGTAGGATCCATCAGTGAGGCGAGTGTCCCGGGCGCCACGTGCCAGCACACTGAGCAGCCCATGCTGGATGAAGTACATCTTCCTGCCCACGGAGCCCTCACGCACCACGAGGTCCCCCGGCTGGAAGACCTCAAAGCGCAGCTTGGTGAGCACGGCTGTGACGAAGCTGGGGTCGGCATGGGCGAACAGCGGCATGTGGGCCACGAGGCCCCGGCAGGTGAAGTTAATGATCTCCTGTCCAGGGGAGGGGCCTGTCAGGCAGTGTGTGCCCCCTGCCCCGAGGTGCCCCCATCAGCTCATCTGTCCCCAGAAGCCCCACCCCTGGGGTCATGGTCTGCCAAAGGATGGGGATGCTTCAGTGGGCCAGGGACCATCTCTAAACTCCTGCCTTCAGAGCTCTCCCATGAGCTCTCACAGGATCACTCCCCCCAGAGATCCCTGCAGCCCTTGCCCATGTATACTGCACCCCTATAAGATCTTCAAGAAAGACCCTAACCCCTAAAAGTCCCCCAAAGGCCTGACCTCCCATGGGGCCCTCTGCAGGCCCCACTCCCTGTAGATGCATCTGCTGACCAATAGCCCCTAACCCAGATGGCATCCCAGAAGCCCAGGCCCTCGAAGAGCTCCCCCCTCCAGGACCCAACCCGAAGTCCCACCTCCCGAAGTGGTTCACTCAGCTCGCCTAGGATGCTTTCTTCATCGAACATCTTGCCCTGGTAGCGGTGCTCATAGTACTCATGGATGCGCTGCCGTGTGTCAGCTGGCAGCTTGTGGAAGGACATATACTGCTCCACCTGCTTGTACTGGAGAGCCAGCCGGCGGCCAGGAAGCAAGAGGACAGAGATAGATGTGGGGCCAGAACAGTGTTTGTTGTGGGGGGGGCATGTCACAGACACGGACCAAATCCAGAGGGTTGAAACATGGAGGCAGGACATATGACAATGGTAGATACAGGAAGGACACATACCACACTTACAGGAAAACACAGACGTGGGCAGAGGAGGGGTCCAAGGACAGGAGCACAGGTCCAAACAAGGAAAAGGTACATACATGGAACACATGGACATGGGATAAGGAAGGACACAGAGATCCAACAGGTGCATGCATCAGATTAGGCTCCAAGTTGAGCTACCCAGCCTCCAGCACCCCTCCATGCCCACCCCTTCCTTCTCCTGCCCCTGCTGACCTTCTCCTGGTATTGACGCCGGGAAGAGTCCAGGGACTGGATGAGAGCGGTGGCATGGCCGATGAACATGGCGTAGCAGGTAGCACCCACGATCATGCTGAGCATGGTGAGCCAGACGTCGGGCATGCCTACAGGTGCCTGCTGCCCGTAGCCAATGCAGAGCATGTGGCTCATGGCCTTGAACAGGGCGTGGGAATACTGGCGGCCCCATGAGTGGTTCTGGGGGGCAGAGTGTAATGCAGAGCTGGGTATAGTCTCCTCAGAGCCTCATTTTCCTCCTGCCCCCTCCTCTCTCTCTCAGTCCTTCAGCCTGCCCTCTTCTACTTCAGACCTGCCTCTCAGGAGGCACTTAAGTTTGGTTCTGGGGGAGCCTGAGACAGAAGGAGCCTCTTTGACAGCTTAGAGCCTGCAGTTTCTGCCTAGGTTTCCTTCCCTGCCTACTCCCTCTAACACACACACACTTTTTCTGGGCCTCTTTCCCTTCTCATCACCTCCCCACCTCCTCACTCGTGTCTTCTCTCTTGGTCATCCTTCCATCATCTCCCACATCCTGCCCCCAGTGTTCACCCCTCCTACTCAGGCAGAAGAGCCCTTAGAAGGCCCAGGAGAGGCTGAGCTGTGGGGAGTGCTCACCACCATGTGGTTGATGGAGACCCAGCAGTCAGGAGGGAAGTCCTGCAGCATGGGGACCAGGAACTGCAGACAGCCATCCCAGTGACATAGCAGCAGCATCATCCCGATGAGGTTGAAGATGCGAACCACAGCACTGGCCAGGTCATAGGTCATGTGAAAGATCTGAGAAGTCCGAGGAGGGGCTGCTGTGGACAAGAACCCCTCCCTGCCAGTCCTCCATTCCTGGCCTTGTAAATTCTCTCTTCAAACTTCTGTCTAGCCCCAGCCCCCATGAATTTTTAAAATGTGGCTATTATTCACTTGTATAGAGCTTTACAGCACACATAGATAGCTAATACAAAGGAGGCTGTGTTACTACTCCCATCTTATAGATAGGAAAATTGATGCCAATCATGTGCCCCAAATCATACAGTAAAGTGTCACAGCAGAAACTCAAAAAGGTCTACTGCACAAGCTGCCCAAGTGTAGCCTGGGAAAGAGGAGAAAGGACAGTTCCCAGTTTAATGTCCCCAGGGTGTATATAAGGATTAACGCCAGAAGTCCTCTTCCCCTCCCATAATAATAGGTAATTACTGAGAACTAACTATATGCCAGGCATTGTTCTAGGTGCTTTACAGGTATTAACTCCTTTAATCCTTATAACTTAATCAAATGTCAGTATATTTAACATTTTCATTTTATAGAAGAGGAAATCAAGTCTTATATAGTAAATAGTAAAACTGGGATCTGACCACAGGCAATGAAATTGCAGAGCCCACAGTCTGAACCACTAAACTCTACAGCCTTGAAGCTGAAACTCCAGCCTCTCGCACAGTCTGTAATTCCTAACTCCCCTCTTACATCTTCCTCCCAGAGTCCAACTACCCTCAAGTGTTTGTCCAGCAGCTGTGCACCACCCTCCTGCACCACCATCCTCTCACCTCGGAGATCCATCCCCTGGACCCACATTCTGTCCCTGCTTCTCCCCCACCAACTTTGGAGTGAGCCCACCCTTGGAAGTCCCACCCCATAGCCTAACCCGGAGCCCCACCCATATCTCTGTCTGGAGGAGTCTGCGAGCCCCCCTGCCCACCTCCCCACCCCACCTCCTCCCACTGGTGTATGTAGCGGATGAGGCGGGAGAGGCGGAGCAGCCGCAGCAGGCTGAGGATCTTGGTGAAACGCACGATGCGCAGGGCCCGAGCTGTTTTGTAGACCTCAGCGTCCAGTCGTGGCTCCAGCTCTACCACCAGGAAGATGTAATCCACAGGAATAGAGGAGATGAGGTCAACCAGGAACCAGGTGCGCAGGTAGCGTGTGCGGATGGCCCGTGGTGCCAGCAGGATCTCAGCACCCTCCTCTACCACGATGCCCGTGCGGAAGTTGAGCACCAGATCCATCAAGAAGAAGGTGTCAGAGAGGACATTGAAGACGATCCAAGGCGGAGAGTTCTCCTCCTTGAAGAAGGTGATGCCCACAGGTAGCACAATGAGATTCCCCACCATCAGGAGGAGCATGATCAGATCCCAGTAAAACCTAAGGTAGGGGTGGGATGGAGATAAGACCACATGATAGTTCACCAGCCACTAGGCTAAGGGCAGATAGTCCGACTCTGCTAAAATTAGGCAAGGATATTGAACAATGGAATGACCATTACAGTTAATTGGAGTGTAAATTGGGACCATCATTTGGAAAAATAGTTTGGAACTATCTAGTAAAGTTAAACATTTGCATTCTCTGCAACCCAGCGGTTCTATTCCTAGGTATATACCTATTTAAGGGAACAGTGTGCCCCGGGAAACACATACAAGAATGACAACATTAAATCTGGAAACAATCCAAATGTCCATGAGTAGAAAAATGTAGATAAATAAGATAAATACAGTAGATAAATACACTGTGATATATTCATGCCCTGGAATACCATACGACTGTGAAATCACCCAACTATAGCTACATTCCACAGTACAGATGAATGTCACAAATTTAATGTTGAAAAACAAAAGGATACATACTGTATGATTCCACTTCTACAAAACTCAAAACTAGGCAAAACTAAACTGCATTATTTAGGGGTTCACAGAAGAGTGAAATTAAAGTCAGTAAGGAAATAAAGTGAAGTAAGGAAAAAAAAATAAAGTAAAGTAAGGAAATGAGTACCACAAAAGTTAGAATAGCAGCTTTGGGAAAAAAATTTGAGAGCCTTCCAGGGTACCCACAATGTAGTCTCTTTTGACATAGACAGTTGTGACATGGGAGTTTGCTTTACAATTATTCTTTCAAATATATATGTGTGTATCTCTATTATATGTATATATATATAGTTACCTTATAGATATATCTACTATATATGTACATATATACCTCTACTATATATATCCCTAGTGTGTATATGTATATATGTTCTTGATATATAGTATATGTAATATCTTTACTATATGTATAATCTATGTCACTATTGTTAAATATTTTAAGTTAAAAAAAGATAAATACCCTGTGCTGATTTCACAGGGTTGCTGAAAATACACTCGCTGAGACAATGGATGTGATAGTGCTGTACAAGCCCTGGTTGGTGTTATGACTCACCCACCCTTTATCCCCAGAAGAGGTTGCTGCTTCTCCCATCTCCAGCTCTCTACCCATTCCTAGTCTAGGACTTCACACCCTTCCTAGCCTTCCCCACACCATCCCTCCTCCCCAAAACAGTTAGGCCCATGGTTCCTGTTTCTCTCCTGGGATCTGCTCATCTGTGTCCCAGGGTGGGGGTGGTCTGTCTTGCCTCCCATCTGAACTAGCTCTTCAGAGATGCCCCTTCCCACCTCCACAGCACCTCAGATAGGCTGCACATACAGAGAAACTCCATAGCAGATCCTGAGGCAGCAAGGCTTGAAGGTCTGCACTCCTTTCCTCCCCTAACCTCCCTGTGCCCACTGGGCTCGGGCTGAAGCCAGCCAAGGATGTGGGCAGGGGAGAACCACACTACTGTGGTGGAAGTTGCAGAAAGAGGTCAGGAGGAAGCAAGGTGAAGCCTTAATTCAGAGATTACTGGACAATCTGAGAGTCCCAATTAGTTATGGTGGTTTCAATTCCAGGACACACCTAATTGCAGCATCAATCCAGGGCCCAGCTCCTTCTGACTCTGAGTGCGAAATCAATCCTTTCAGCCCCTGAAAGAAGCTTGGTGGTCCCCAAGTCTGGGCTTCCAGGAATCTCCTCAGACCATGTGCTTCCAATCAACAACAAATCCTTGACCCTCCTCTTCCTATTCTTCCTGGCCAATGGGGAAATCCTGTACTGAGTTGGGAGAGGTGAGGAAAGGAGGCTTTGCCTAGCCATAGAGCATCTTCACAGCCTGACTCACAGGCAGTCACAAGCCTGGCGAGTGATGCTGGAGAGAGGATGGAGAAGAAGCCCAATAATAAATGGGGATACATGGCTTCTGGAGATACATCTGAGAGTAAAATTGGGGGAAGGGAGGGAGATCCACAGGAGACTAGAAAAGGTGCACTAGTAGGGTGAGAATGAGGCAGTAAAGACGAGTGGAAGGAACAATGGGAGAAAGAGGAACATTTTGGGAGTGTGTATGTCTGTAGACGAAGATAATGTCTAGGTCTCCAATTGTGTTTCCAGGCTTCTGATTCACACCTCATCCTTTCCACTCATTTCACTCCCCAGGTTAGATGCTTTGCACACATCCTTGCCTCATCCAAAAGCTGTCCTTCATTTCCTCCAAGGACAGGGCTGCTCTCCTCCCCTAGCGACCTTGATGTAGAGGTACAGCCTGATGGGGACTATGGAATGGCCCCACCCCCACTCTCCGTCCCTTCTCTCTGGTAGTCACCTGGGCGGTGGCCGTGCCCAGGCGTTGCTGCCTCAGTCGGTCTGAGTCCTGGCCCTGCCCCGCCGAATACCGCCTTCAGCACCAGGGACAGAGATCGGAGCGGCTGTCTGGACACCCCCTCTTCCCTCCCCAGCGACCCTATTTTTCTTGGTAGCCTGCCCTGCTGAACTAGGCAGGTGCTGGGGATGGGAATGGGAACGGTAGGAGACAGCGGAGCTCGGTTTCTCACTCAGGCTGACCTCGAGCCTTGGAACATGACATAATCTCCAAGGTCCCCAGCAAGCAGGACTGGAGGAGACAATGATCCCTAACTCCAGTATTTCCTGTGGCCCAGGTGGGGTGTCAGGTTCCTAAAAGGGGAAATCCAGGTCTCTGGTGTTTGCTTGTCCCTCCCAGCTCCTCAGCCTGAGAAGTCACCGAGGACCTCCGGCTGGGGATCCTTCACCCAAGAATTCCCCGCCTAGGTTGGGGGAAGTGATTCTGTTGGCCCACCAGGGGACCCCTGGGCCGGAAATGAAGTATCTGTGGACGGTAAGGCGGGCCCGGCCCCCATGTCGCGTCCCGTGGGGGTGGGATTTGTGTCCCCCGCCCTCTCTGCCAGACCCCCATTACCGGAAGTCGCTGTAGGGGTGGATGATCCAGGCCCCCGCTGACTTGACCCGCTCCTGCTCGATTTCCACTGCTTTGTGGCTGCCGAACACGCGAAGGGAGAACTTGTTGACCGTGGGCTGGAGCAGAGTCCCGAGCTGCCTCCTCTTGGGCTCGGACCCGGGCCTGGACCCGGGGATCGGACCCGAGGCCGCGGTCGTAGGCGCCGGGGCAGCCGAAGGCGCCGCCTCCAGCCCAGGGGTCGCCCCGTCGCTGGCCCCAGTGGTTGGCCGCTGGTCCGCCTCCATGACTCCAGTCAGCTTACACGTTTGGCCTCCTAGACCCTGCTGCGGCCATCCGGGACCCCCGACACCCCGGAGTCCGAGCCGGCGCAGCCCGGCGGGCTGGGAGCGGAGGCGTAGTCGACTGGGAACTGCCGGCGCGCGGGGCGGAGGGGGTGTGTGCGACAGACTCGCCAGCGGGCGGCGGGCGGATTGCGCTGCGCCCCCTGGCGAGAGCCGCGCGAAGGCTGGGCAGGGCAGGAGGAGGCGGGGCAGTGCCACAGCCATCCTGGGAGGGGGCGGGGCCAACGAACATTGCGACCAGAGGAACTCCGAGGTGGGCGTGGCTTAGCTGATGGAAGCGGTGCTTCAAGTGTAGCTAGAGGAGGGGAAACGCAGCCAGAGCCCCGGAGAGGGCGTGGCCTAGAGTTGACGGACTTCAACCCCACTGTGTGCCAAGGAGGCGGAGCTGCCTGCGAATGGCGGGAAAATCGGCCGCTGGTTGTAGCTCGTTGAGGATCGGGAGGGCGAGGAATTGGGAACCAATGGAAGAGATGGGAAATGGCTTTTGAGATTTTATTTCCCCACTCTCATTCATGGACTTCCTGCATTTTACTTTTTCTCTCCTAGGGATATTCCTTTCTTCTGACCTTCTCCATACTGCTCCTTCTATACTTCATTGCGAATGTATCTTCAAGAGCAACTCTGCCTATCAACAAGTGGACGCTGAAGATACAGTCTCAGCCATAAAGTCACTGCTCGTCCATGCCCGCAGACAGACAGAACACGTGAACTACAGTGCTATGTACTGGAAAGTGCTATAAGTTCCAATATATCTCAAATTCTTCCCTTCATCTCAATTTCTTATTGCCACTGCCTTATTTAAAGCCCTCAGCACTTTTTCACATAAGTTATTTCAGAAGCCTCTAAATGGGTCTCTAAATTCTCTCAGGCCAGTTCTTTCCCCACAGTCCGCCAAAGTTACCCTCCTAAAATCCTAAAGTAGCTACATCACTTGTTTACTGTCCTTCAAACTTCCCTGTCTTCTATAGATTACAACTAAGTTCCTTAGAATGACATACAAGGCCCTGCAAAATTTGGACCTAGTTTCAACAACCTCTCTGCTGATAGTCCCTCTCGTGAAAGCCAGGACTCCAGTACTGTTGAAATGCTTTGTTTTGCTTTGTCTCCAGACCTTTGCAAATACTTTCTCTGCCTGGTTTTCTTCTGCTCCAATCCACTTTCCAACAGTTAGTTCAGATGTCATCTCCTCTAGGAAACCTAAAAACATATTTCTAACTCTCCCTTCCTCACCTAAATCTTAGTCTAGAGTTTTCTTAACAGTGACCAGGGCACCACCATTCATAACAGCTCTTGTCAAAAGGCTGCCATTATTTGATTACAGGTCTTTCTCTACCATTAGACTGTGAAGCTCTGACCTTGTGCCCGGCATAATGCTGGACACCTGGTGGACACTCAGTAAATGTTTGTTGAATAAACATGCAGGAGGAAGGCAATTCCACTTTCCTCTCAACCTCGTCATTATCCTTCCTCTTCTATTTTAAGGAACTTTTCCCAAACCATTTCTGGCCGCGTCTCTAACTCAGCTCAATTTGTCTCAAGGTCTCCTCTTTCCTTTTTTTCCCCCCCAATTCAGTAAACTTACTCTTCTCATATATTATGTGTAAGTACATACCAAAGTTCTCAACTGACTTTCCCTTTCTTAGCACTCAATTTTCCACCCCTGCATTTTTCAAACCTTTCCTCTGTGGCCATACCCTCCCCTCCGCCACAACGTGCGTAGTTTTTGTCCAGGACTAAAAGTGGGAGCCCGTCTTTGCTTTGGTAAGGTAGCCGAACTGTAAGAACTGGCCATTTACAGGCTATGCTAGAGAATCAGACCTCACCACCAAGCCTCAAAAGGTTTACGGAGCGGCAACACTCCGTAAACGACACCCCTCCTTTTCAACCTCCAAACCTAACAACGTAAGCCAAAGAAGTCTCAGGAAAAAGGTGAAAGATTGACGAAGGGTACGGAAGTGAGGAAGGATACGGAAAGACACGAGGCGGGAATGCACCGGCCTGGCAATTCCCGGCGACTCTCTCCCCTCCCCCATGAACTTCCGCACCCAGCACCTTCTCGGCTCTCACAGGCGGAAGACAGCTAGCTACGCGAGGACGCAGTGGCGTGCGCGGTCTTAGGGGCGGAGCCCCGGGGTGGCTGGGAAGCGACGCAGGACGTGCGTGCGTGCGTACGTGCTCGCTCGCGGTGGCGGC